TACTTTGCGTATTTCAAACACAAGAAATTGTGTATCCTTCTGTCAGTCGGCTGATTCAAGGTAAGACTTTGCTAATATTTCTGGAACATAATTTAATTATTTGTCAAGAAATGCATTTCACAGTCTTTAAGAGTGTGTTGGGTACTATCTACACACATTCATACCACTATGAAAGTTGTCAGTATGTCTTACAACACTGGAACATGTTCACTTTGCTTGTCTAAGCTTAAATTGCATGGCAGTCTCTGCAGAAAGTGACTTTTTTTGTTTGTACAGCTTGACTATAAGGTTGTAGCCTCAATCTAGTCCATTTACTTTAAAAATGAGTCCCCAAAAGAATGGCTTTTTCAAGACAGATGAACTGAAATGGATCCTACAAGTACAAGACAGGCAAATCCTTCATTCCATGCCTGGTCGTACTGAGGCTGTTAAATGCATGGCGGTTGCCTGGTGAAGACCTAACAAAAGTCAGAGCAAAATTACTGCAGTTTTTTGTAATAACTTATGCTAACAAAGAGTAACCTTTAATATGTTGTAAAAGACCAAAGAACACATTGCTACTAGCAAGTGTGGATAGGAAAGATTGGTTTTACCATAAGTAGTCATGTGAAATTGCATAATAGGCAAATAAAACCTATTCACATGTCTGAACAGGAAAACAGGTTAGATTTGTACTTCTCTAAGTCAGTACCTAGGGGAACAGTATCAAAATGGATCTAACCATCTAACCTGTGGTGGGATTTGGCCAGTATATCATGAGTTGTACATTGGATCTGATAGTGACATTCTGGCAAATACCATTCACAACTACTTATTTGTGAAGACAACAGATGCTTTTGATTGCATTGTCTGATGGATGTACTAGATCTCACCTACATTGTGAGATTGTAAAGACCTCCCTGGATTAGACTCATAATTAAGCTAAGAGCATTGGCCAAGCAAACTACTGTCACTCATGTTTCTCTCCGAGTGCAGCACACGATCAGAAGTTGCAGGATCTGATCCATTGGGATGCAGTTTTGGACATCTGTATGTTTAGCAGTTTTAAACCAGTGGATCTGATCCTAAGGGAACAAAATAAGGATTGTACATTCTTGAACAAGAAACAGTAAAGCTTCACTCTTCTTTTTAGCATTCACAGAAAAGCAGAGAAGAGGCTGGCAGTTGTCAGAACAGTATTTTCCAGAAGTCCTTTAAACCTGGGTAATAAGCAAGCCAGCATACTGGAATACCTCCCCACTCTTCGCAGTATCTGTAGGTTTGAGAAGCTAAAAGAGCAAGGGAAGACTAAAAGAAGGTAAGTTTGGGGTTTCCGACATCTTGCTGCATTTCCATTTACAAGGTAGTGAAGAATTTCAATAGTAAAATATCTTGTCAAATAATTCTAGACAGGAAAGGTGAACCTTTGTCGCTCTAAATGATGTTGCCTTGTAATTGGAAATAACTTTGTCCCCTTATAGTCACTTTTCTTTTTCTAGGTTCTTGCATTATCTTGAAGGGATTCATCTCGAAATACCCAGACAAATGATAAAAGGTCTGTCTTTGGACTTCCCTTAAAATTGCAAACACCAGGAATACTTCGTGCCTAATGGTGGTATTGTCACCATGGTTTGATTTTTAACTTTTTTTTTTACCACATTATTTTATTGTATATTCAGAGCCATTTGTATATTAAATTTCTATAAGTATTTAAAATAATGTATATATCTATTGTCATGATACTGCTCTCCACATGGAAACGTGGCCTTGTTTGGTGCTTGTCCAGTGCATTTATAATGGGAAATGCACAAACTAGTCAATGGGGACTCCTTCACACTGTCTTTCTCTGTGTATCACATGGCAAGAAGTCCATTTGTAACAACCGACCACCACTACTTCCATAGCAAAGTTGCTTCTTTCAGAAGAGACGGTTTTATTAAAATAAGCTTGTTTCTGTCTGAATTTGCAGCAAAATGTTAAATAACTTGGGGTGGGAGGGAGCAGGGAGAGGATGTGACAAGTCTGTCAGAAGTGTAAATGACTAAAACCAACTCTTTGCAATAAGGACTGGGTATCAAAGTCTTTACAAATCACTGTGCCTCAATGTACATATGTTTGTATACATTAATTTCATTATTTCCAGTTGTCAGATCTGCATGTTAATCTCCCACTGGGGTAAAGAAATTATTACTGTAGCTCAAGACGGTCTCAGAGATTAGATTTTGTAAATAACAATTAATTCCAGTGTTCCTTTGGTTTCAGTAATATTTAACTACTTCTAGTCTTGTATATTGTGTTCTATTTTATCCTTCATTTTGTACTTGACAAGACTTCAGCCTGATTATTTGTGATTGAACCTGTTTTGTACAACAATAAATTTGTAAGACTTTGCTACAATTCTGAATATTTCTGTTGTATGAAATGTAAGACTCCTGAAACTTAAAGTTTTCAGTTCATAAAATGGTGTTTAAGGGGTTTTTAACTGGAAATACTTCAACCATGTACTTTTCTGCCTTTATATTGCAGTTGGGCTGTTCTTCCTCAACCTGAGTCAGGCTGCTGCCATAAAGTGGTACTCCCCTTACCTCAATGTCTCTGTAATAACAGGGTCTAATACATTCTGTTCTCATTTTATATTTTTAATGTCTTAAAGATGATCAAGAATGAGAAGTACTTATGAAAACATTAAATTATTTCAAGCTTTCACATTGTAGATAATCATCTTTATAGCTTACTCTGTCCATAGCTCAATCTGAATTTTCAGATGTTGAAATCTGCCTGGGCTGTGGTGATGTGCCAATGGTCTAAGCAACTCCTGTCCATTTTTGTAAAAATACATAAATAATTTTTTAGTTTCTTAAATAAAAGAAGTAAATATACCTGATAACTGCTTTATAATGACATTCTCCTACTAACTACATTACAGCAGGGACCTGCATAAATTGGAAACAAGCTTTAGAAAGTATTACTATTTCAGGAAATTCATGGGTAGTTTAAAAGCCATAAAGGAGAAAGCCATGGGAGACCTCCTTTTGAAGTCAGCTCTGTGGTTGTAATGATTGCCCTAGGTTTTTTGGGGTTTTGATAGAACTTCCAGGCTCTGGTATCCAAAAGGTAGGTGGAATTCAAGTCTTTCATTTGTTGATCAGGTTGGACGAAGCCTTGGGTGGTATGGTTTAGTGTGAGGTGTCCCTGCCCATGGCTGGGGGGGTTGAAACTGGATGATCTTAAGGTCCTTTCCAACCCTAAGATCTTAAGGTCCTTTCCAACCCTAACTATTCTGTGATTCTATGATAAGATACTTGTTTGTAATTACCACATAAAGACAACTCAAGGTGGTTTGAATGAAGCATAATCCACTTGTGAGGATTTATTTGAACTCTGGTACACTACCAACCTTGCATTTTTCTGCATCAGCACCTTTTGCGTGCTAGAACAACACACGTTTCTGTGAAGGACAAGTTGCTCTTGAGGAAGAGAGATCTGGGGCTGGTTTTGAATTAACTCCGCTGAAAAGGGAATGCTTCACAAGATCCATTCCAGTGCCGCAGAAGTCACCCACCTTTGATGCTTTGAGCCCTGCTAGGTACTTTATGCTGCCTGAGTATGGCAACAATTGCTTCCATGGTGTGAAAGTGTAAGAAAAAGCCTAAAAATCAGCGTTGAGTACCTTGCAAATGACTGCAGATACCCGGAAAGGCGAAAGACACAACCTATGTCTGCAAACTGAGTAACAGAATTCAGTGAAACCAGAAGTAAAAAAACCCCCTGGAGTTTCACAATGACTGCACCTTATTTAAGCAGCCCTTATTACTAAGGGTACAACAATTTTAAGAGCAACAAACATGTTCTTGTTGACATCTCAGTCAAGTTTCAAGCTTTCTTTTTACTATCATTCCACTATTGCTTTCTAGAACATAAATGAAGGTGACGTTATTCTACAATCCCATGAGTAATACAGAAAAAGAGCAGTTAAGCTTCGGCATGTTCTTGCAAGCATATTCTGTTAATACTATAAAGTGGGATGGAAGGATCCCTTTCCAAGCAAGACTATCACTTCTTGCCCTGCTTGAGGGCTTTTATGAGGACTGAATCTTGACGGCTGAGCCTGGGAAGGACGTGCAGAAAGACACTGAAGCTCAGCTTGTGAGTGTGCCACAGTTGGGTACTGACCAGCAGCTGAGGGTTGTTTTGGTGTGTTTCTATGTTGTCTTGAATATAAATAACTACTGTGCAAATGTCATAGAGATTTCTCTTTTTTATTTGACAGGACTTGTAAGGGCACCACAACAGCTAGCACAATACCTGTGTTGTATGGCTTGCACAACAATGATCTCTGGGGAAAATGAAGCCCATTTCTACATTGGAGTATAAAACCGTTCTTAAAGGGTAAGTGCTGAAAAGACATTGTTATGTAGGGAGGTGAACAACTCAACTCCTCAGTACTCTGCTGCTGTTTATTTCATGGCTTCACACTGTTTAAAAATGAATCAAAGGTACGATGCTCTTCAGTACCTAAAAAGATGGAAAAAACGTGTCAGTACTTTCAATTGATGATACATCTCTGGTATAGAGTTGTGTCATCTGCACACTACACTGTGGTTTTACCAGGTTATACCTAAACCTTACTGAAGAACTGCATATTACAGTGCAGTACAGTAATGCCAGTTAACTGCAAATTTTTATCTGAAACTAATAAAATGAGAAATATTTGAATATCTCTTACACCATTTCTGATTTTATTAACTTGGGAAATCCTTAATTTGTTCACTTTTTTCTCCTCAGCTAAACCGAGTACCAAGTCACGGGCTGTTGGGCACCGGCTTTACCCCGAACAAGGCACATTTTCACTCACATTGGCAGTCCTGAGCCCTGCACCGAGTTTCGCTCACAGCCTTTCCCTTCTCGCCCCCTCGGTGCCGCGCAGCTCCTCCGGAGCCGTTGCCACCGCGGGCCCTGGCTCCGGGCCGGGCCCCGCCGTTCTCCCCACTCCACCCGTCGCAGGAGGCGGCCCGAAGGGGCGGCTCAGCCCTGCAGCGCCTGGCCGGGGCCGCGCCCCAGTTCCTCATTCTGCCGGGGCTGCGCCGGGCACCGAGCGGTGATGATGGACCGCGACAGCAACAAGACGGTGCTGCTGGAGCTGCAGAGGGCTGCCGGCACCGGGAACAGCCGCTGCGCCGACTGCGGGATGCCAGGTGAGGGGGCTCCTCCCGGCAGCGCCCCGGCTCCCTTCCCTCCGTGTTCCTGACAGGAAAGTGGCCATAAGCGAGCGGCCCGCGGGCTCCCCTGGCCGTTCCGCCGGCCGGGCAATGCCCATTCACCTCCCGGCGAGCCGGCTCCCCACAGCGGGGCCGTCGTCCCCTCACACTTCGCGTACCACAGGCAGCCGGCGGGAGCAGGCGGGGTCCCGCCTCGGAGGTGGCCGCATCGGCGGGCCCTAAGGGGCGGCCGCGCTCCGGGGGGACGGGACATGGCTCCCCTCAGCCCGGAGGGGGACAGCGAGGGGCAGGAAGTGGCCTCGGGGCAGCGGCAGCTTCGCCGGGGGTATTTGTAGGCAGTGCATGAGGCGGTGTTCCAGCTCCATGGGAATGGCTGCGCAGTGGGGTTGGTGTGGAGAAGGGCTCCCGAAAGACTGCTGGAAAGCCCGCTGGAAAGCCCGCTGCGGGCCGGCACTCTGCACTTGGTCGAGGCGGGAGTCACCCTCCTCAAAGTGAGAAGTCACTCAGCTTACAGCAGCTGGAAGAAGACAACAAGGAGCTTCTGTTTAATGTGATAAGGGGAAAGAAGAGGCTGACATAAGGAACGCGGCTGTCCAAGGAAATGGGTTTGCCAGAGCACTCGGATGCCTCTGAGCATCAGGGGAGGCAGCAGGAGGCAAGAGCTCCTGTGGGCAGCAGACACAAGTCCTTGCACTAAGTGGTTGTACTCAGTTGTACTCAGTAGTGCTCGCTGTCTGCAACATCCTTCCGATGTTAATTCAGGAACAGCAGCTTTCCATGTAGAACTAATAATTAGCTGAGCTTTTTTGTGGCTCCTCGGCTGCCTGCACAGTCACATTCATTTTTAAACAAATAATCCTTGACAGAGCCTACACATGCAGGGGTGCTGGGGAAGGCAGGTGCTGTTGCGCTGAATACAGTGAAGTGACAGCCACAAACAATAGCATGGGATTGATGTATTATGTGTGAAGCTTGGGCTGTGCATCAGATGAGCTTTTTCACCCTTGCCAGTGGCTGTGTCTTTTCTCATGTGTCAGTTCATTCTTCGTGTTTGTGTCTAGATCCAGAGTGGGCTTCTTACAAACTTGGAATATTCATTTGTCTGAACTGCTCTGGAATCCATCGCAATCTTCCTCAGATCAGCAGGGTCAAATCCCTTCGGCTTGATTTCTGGGAGAATGATCTGATAGAGGTACAGAGGAAAAAGTGGTAATTAACTTGCTTTCCTCCGCATTTCATCATAGCCTCCTTCACCTTGCAATTCCTGTTGTCCACCATGGACAGAGGAACAAAGCCAAACAGAGTCAAGTTAACTCCATGGGTAAATTTAGGGGGTTTTTAATGACTTACTTGATCAAATTGCATTGGTGAATGATTGTGTTTCTGACAACCTGCAGCGTATATTTTTCTATAGCACACGGTAACTCCTCACTGTGGTTTAGAAGCCCACAGATATTTCCAGATACTATGTTATTTTCAGAAATCAACATATTCTTCTTAAAATATTGGCTCAGCCTCCCATCTTTCAATTGAATTTTATTAATAATATCATGGTTGACATCTAGGAGAATAAGGTACAGGGAGATCATAACTAATTTATCTCTTTATTTTATTTTGTTCTTTTAATCAACAACTGCAGTCCCTTGTTCCTTCCCATCTGGTTCAGAACTGTCAATACTGAAAAAGGCTCCCACCTAAAAAGTGCAGTCTATAGTGTCAAAAGGAATTTGTAGATGTATGTAGAGATGCACTGAGAGTTAGACCAAGACTGAGCAAAAAAGTGCAGTGCTCCCTTTAACACAATTCTCATTTTATATTAATGACATGGCATTGATTTTATAGTTGCATACCTAACCATAACTTCTTCTGTGTTTCAGTTTATGAAGAAGCATGGGAACCTCTGTGCCAAAGCTAAATATGAGGCAAAAGTCCCTCCTTACTATTACATCCCCCAGTTCTGTGATTGCTTGTAAGTAGATGGGGTGTTCACTGTTGCAGTCTTTCACAGCTATTGAACTACTACTTCCCTCTACAGGTCTCTTTGGTTGACTGGTGAAAATAGAGTAGAGACAGATCAGCTTTATCCATGTTTTCCTCTTTCAGGGTTTTAAAAGAGCAATGGATTAGAGCTAAATATGAGCGTGAGGAATTTGTTGCCACCCGAGTCTGCCAAGATCCTTGTTCTGCAGGTAAAAGTTAGGATTGTCAGGGAAAAGGTGTTAGTGTTAAAGCCAGCAGCGCAGTGTTCTGTGCACAACTGTGAAGATCTTTAAGGTTGGCTTGTCGTGTTTGAACTCTTGGATGTGCAGGCCTTGCTTTGACTCTAACTTTGAGAAGAAGATCCTGAGAAAAGGCACCCAGACAAGTGCAAGGGTGTACTCAGATGAGTTCTCTTGTTCTCCACTGATTTTTTTCATATGAGGTAAAAATTCTTAGCTGGAGAAGAGACTTGATACTCTGTGCCACCTCCCCATTTAGATAAACAGACCTGCTGTTGTGCTGCCCTTCTCTGACACTTTCCTTGATCCGATATGTAGGCAGCCGGGAAGGATTCCTCTGGAAGCGTGGACGGGAAAACAGGCACTTCCGTAAGAGACGATTTCTCCTATCAGCAAGGGAAGGAGTGATGAAGTACTACACCAAAGAAGTGAGTTCCTCAGTCAGAGTTTGCTGCAGGTAGCTGGTCAACATCCAACCTCAAACCCTGATTGATCTTCACCAGCAGAACCCAGCATAAGTAGCTTTGTCTCTAGTTTTACAGCCAGGCCAGCCTGTGTTTGCAGTAGCCCAGATGTCTTCCCATTAACATATGTGCTATCTTAAGCAATTGCTCTTTTAGATTCAGCACTTTTCCTCATCCTTTATCTTAACCATGCAGCCCCCTTTTGCTTAGTGAACAAAGGAAATGGATACTGGCACTTGAACAGCAAGATGAAGAAGAGATCTGTTAGCAGCTGTTACCAAAATATTCTCTCATCAACTACTGCAGCATCATCCTCAAGGTGTCTCCCTTTGGCAGGAGGTGTAGCTAATTGTTTTCCAGCTCTGGGGCTGGAGGTAGATAGACCCACCTCTTGCAATTCAGACACATCCCTTTCCAATAGCAGCTCAGCATTTGTCAAGGCAAGGGAATCACTCTTTGATCACTTTGAAAGTGATTTTATGTAGCAGATAATTAAGGCTTAATATTTTGGGCATATCCAATATTCAGGTATTTTAGGATGTCTGCTTTTTCTTCATACATGTATGAGCTAGTTCTCATACAGCTAAATCTGTCCTCCATTACCTTCCCTGAGAGCACTTTAATACAGTGATGTTTTTCATTTCACAGTTTGGAGGTCCAAAAGCCATTATCAGCATTGAGAATCTGAATGCAATGTTCCAGACGGATAAAATCCAACATGCTCATGGGCTGCAGATCACATACAACACAGATGGTCAAAGAAGGAACCTTTTTGTCTATCACGAAAGTGGAAAGGTGAGTACCACAAACCACAAAGGTTTTTGTGGTACAAAAGTACATCCTTGCACAGAGGCTGTAAGAAAGGAGAAAAACATTTTGGAGAGGCAGCACTGTTACTTGCTTTTCTTGTATTTGTGTTTGTGTTTGCTGTTTTCCCTAGGAGATTGTTGACTGGTTCAATGCCATTCGGGCAGCACGCTACCATTATCTCAGAACAACCTTCCCAAATGTCCCTGAGCCTGAGGTGAGAACTGAACAGGGCTTGAAGCAGTCTATGCAAACATAGCATGGGGAAACATTTTCTCACTACTGTCAGAGTCAGGTGCTCAAACAGCAGAGTATGGGTCTTGGAACGGCCAGAAGAGGGAGAAAGAAAGGGCACGCTGCATAACATGCAAAACCACTGTGAACTTTTAAGGCCTAAAAGTCTTTATGTAGTCCTTATAAAGTGTAATCTTTTAAAAATCTTATGTTCCTTCTTATTTCAGACTTCCCTTTACCGAGCAGCCAAAAAAACCTCAGACCCTAAAAGCCAAAATTGACGGTGATTAGTTTTGACAGAAACAGAACAGCAAAGCAAGCTTGAATGAAACATGCTGTCCTGGTTTGGGCTGGGATAGGCATAGACGTTTTTGTGTTTGTATTCTTCCAGCTCATACCCAGGATCACAAGAAATTATATCAAGGAAGGATACATGGAGAAAACGGGACCAAAAGTAAGTGCATAATTAGCAGTACACAAACAAGATTATTCCAGATGGAGAGTATTTGATAATTCTGTGATGTTCGCTAGTAAATGATTTGCTGAGTGACTGTATGCTTCCTGGGTTGATAACAGACTTTATATTCAAGCCTGTCATGTTCTTAGGGATAATGTTTTATTTTGTGTGGAAAATAAGACTAGGAAGGAGAATCCTCCTTGAGGAATAAGCAAGATGGATTAGCTGGAAGTGGACATGCAAAGTCCTGTGGTGCAACACAGAATGGATTGCTGTTATCTGCTAACTGCAGCTCCTGCTAGAACAGAACATCACATGCTGACTCCCCTACTTCCCCATTTCTCTTAAAGTCTGTAGCACATAAATCACATCTGCCTATAGCAGCAAAGTGTGACTGAGAAATTCTCCACAGTGAAGCCTGTGGTTTCATTTGGGATTTTGTATGGAAGTATTTGGGCCACTGCCTCTTTGGAACAGGAGGGGGAGATTTCAGGCATGGTGAAGGAGAAGATGAAGATTGGAGGTCTTGTTTGAACAGTGCCACTTCTTGCCTAGGCACACCCCCAACCAAAAAGTTGAAACTGGTTGTACATTAGCACCACTGGCCCAGGAATCATTCTCTGCAGTGCTTTCAATTGATCCATTTGCTGCAACTTTCTTAATCTCTACAATTTGATCACTGATAGAAACAAACTTACCTGTCTTACCCAAATGATTGTCACTAAATGCACATCTCTAGTGTGAACCCAGAGAGAAGGCAGGATGAGGGCTGCACACAGCAGTGGCTTGCCCATTACCTGTTACGGGGATGAATTAAACTGAACTCAGTCTCTGAGACATTCAATCACTCCAGGGATCTGCCTTGAATAGGTGGAACTCCCCTTTGGGACTTGGGTCTTTAAAGAACTTGTACCATCTCCTTGCAGCAGAAGGAGCCCTTTAAGGTGCGCTGGTTCTGCCTGGATTCACAAGAAAGGACCCTGATGTACTTTAAAAAACCACTGGTAAGAGGAGTGTTATTTTCTATTCCACATGAAGGTGGGTGGGGAGGAAGGGTCTCTTCTCATCCAGCTTTTCCAGTGGCTGTACAAGACTGAAGCAGGCTCAGTCCCAAGAGCTCATCTCCCTTGTCAGTAGATCTCTTTGAAGCTGAGCTGTTTGGATAGCACAGAGTCTGCTGGAGCTAATGGCTGTCTTCTGCTTCCTTCTTTCCAGGATGCATTTGCACAGGGCGAGGTTTTAATTGGAACCATGGATGAGGGATATGAAGTGCGAGCTGGTGTGCCCCAGGGAGTCCGGGTGAAGAAGAAACCAGCGATCACTGTGGTCACGCCAATGAGAGAGTTTGTGTTTATATGTGAGAATGAAAGGGAGCAGACGGAGTGGATAGATGCCTTAAATGGAATCATTGCCCAGCCTTTGACTGGTTAAGACTAGCACTAAGTTCCGGTGAACTGCACTTCTTGGGCTCTATTTGGTGTTGCTCTGTGGCCTCTTTCTGTTGGCAAGGATGGTGCTCAAGGCCCTAGTGACTCTAGTACAAGGGGCTGCTTCTTCAAAAACCACAGGCACAGGAAGGGTGGCAACAGAGAAATGGATAAGGGGGAGTGCAGTTATTCAGAAATGATCTGTGCCCCTGCAGAACCTCACTTGAAGTGCCTTCTTTCTTCCTACCCTCTGCTGCTTTTGAGCAGAGGAGGCCTTCCCAGCCTGACAGGGATGAATCATCCAGTGTTGTCTCATGGAAAAAACCACCAAGTCAATGGAGAAAGTCTGACCCCAGAAGGACTGGCATGCATTTCCTTGAGGACTCCTGCAGGTGCTATGTCAGCTCCTCCTTTTCTTGACTTGATCTGATGTCAGAAGGACTCCTGTACATCCTGAAGGACATACCTGACAATCCAGGCAGTGGCATGTATCCTGCCAGTGATGGGGGGTCACTGGTCACATGGGTACATAGTGACCAAGGGGCTATAAGGATGATGCAGCGGGATCTGTTGGATAGATTTGAGATACCAATTCATGCTGGAGTCACTGGATGTCTTTCTCAGGGAGGAGCAGATTCAGGCAGCTGCGTTCCATCTGGCTGTTCCAGACAGGAACATAGTGGTTTTCAAACAAGTGGGTTCAGTGTCTTTTACAGTGTTGTGTTCAGCACTGTAAAAAATAAAACTCAAGAATTGTGGATGTACTGTAATGGACTCGCTCTAATGACAAACATTCGTTGCTCCTTGCTTTCAACAATCTCTATTGCTTGACTTTTTAATGATTTGCAAATCCAACATGTGAATACCAAATATTTCCAGAGCAACACCATATAGTGCCCCAGCAAACCCAGATGAGCACAGGATCAACATATGCTGATCTTCCTCACCACCTAAAAAGCAGCTGAAGCTTAATGAGCTTGATTAGTCTGAGAATTGAAAAGCAGAAACTGGTTTTGAAAGTGTTATCTCCAATGGCTTGCTCGGAGACACTTGATGAATGAGGACAAGCACTGAAGTGGAGGATACTTCCTGATCAGGTACCATTCACATCCATTCTGTGCAGGAACTGATGAAGATGTGCACTGATAGTGTACACTATTTTCTTCCTCAATATAAAGTCTGAGATTTGGTTCTACCAAGCAGCCAGTCATTCAGATATTTAATTCTTCTTTTCAAATAGCCTTAGTTTGCAAATCAAGAGGAAGTCTTGCAGACTAAGTTTCTGGTTTTCCACCTTTTGCTGACAGTTGCCAGCCAATCTTAGATACCCGGAATAGTTCTCTTCTGCAGAAATGAGGAAGTGCTAATACTTGCAGGGATTAGCAAGATTAACTCTTTGGGGTTGGTTTCATTTCCCTCTCTCTTCTCTCCCTCCCACCCCCCCCCCAATAGGGCAGAAGAATAGCTTAAGTGGGATCACCATTCTGTCTGTCTCAGTGAGCTCATCGCCCCCCAACTCTGAGCAATCAACAGCAGTTTTGCTCGTGGATATGCTCCCATGAACTTCCCTGTATTCCCACTCTCTCCCTGTGCAACATGATTCATCCTAGTTCACATGCTGGTTCAGCAAATATTTTTAACAACCTAATCCTGCAGCCCTCAAAATGAATAGCAAAGCACCTCCTTGCTTGTATGAGGAACAATGTCTTCGTTTGCTTTAATGCAGATTAACTGTTATTTTGAGATGAACTGGCTAACCCAGGATGACCTCAGGAGAGCTCTGGCCATCCAGTAGCCAAACTTCACACAGATGGGGCTCTGTAAGTGGTGCTGTGCCATGCTGCTTGCTCCCCAGACCAGCCCTGTCAGCAACTGTGATGGTTACAAAACCGGGAACTTCCCTGTGAAAATGAAATTGTGCAGATAACAGCAACTTTCTTTGAGCATCAATAAAAGTCATGGCCGGGTCATGGATCGCTCTGCGGCACATGGCTACAGTCATGGCGACAGTTCATGTCTGCAGTCAACCCGAGTCCTCGGACCAGGCTGCCGGTAGAGGAAGAGCTGGGCTGGCACCGGGTTTCCTGGCCGGAGCGGGACTTCCCGGTCCCGGTGGAACCCAGAGGTCTCCAGCGCAGCAGGTACGGGGGCAGAGCCCGCCCGCGCGGCGCTCGCCTGGAGCACTGCAAGAGGCGCCGGGGAAACCGAAAGTCAGCGGCCGCTCGGCTGCGCTCCGCCGCGGGCCGGGCCATGGCTGCCGCGGTGCCCCTGGGGCGGCTGCTGCGCGCGGTGGAGCTGAGCTGCGCCTGCTGCCTGCAGCACTTCGCGGACCCGGTGCGGCTCCCGGGCTGCGGCCACAGCTTCTGCCGGCCCTGCATCCTCCAGTACTGCAAGGGGAAGCAGCGCGCATTCTGCCCGCTCTGCCGGGAGGGCTTCGAGCGGAAGGACCTGCGGCCCAACCGGGAGCTGGCCGCTTTGGTGAACCTGGTCCAGCAAGAGGTAGCGCAAGAAGAGCTGGAAGCACAGAATGAACCGAAGCCGTCTGCAGCTGTTGCCTGCAACGACCAGAGCTCGGCGGGACGGCATGGGGACAAGGTAGGGACGGAGGCAGCGCGGGGCTCCTCCCCGGGACACCCTGGGACAACCCATGGTGTCGTGAACATGGGGACATGGCCACGACTCAGGGGACTTTATCTTTTTGCTTTCCACTCCGGATGCTTTGCATTCCCTGTGCTAATATTAGCGCTGTCGTAACAATATCGAGTATGTTGAGCAGACGGGTTTAGCTAAAGCAGTGTCTGGGCGGCATCTGATACACTGAGGACTGCAGAGCTGAACTGAAAGAACTAATAGCTGTGTGTGTTCAGATGATGCACAATAGTAATAGTTAACTGTGCTGGGTGTTAGTTATTGCATCAGTATAGCGTTGGAGACTGCTGAAAGAACACATAATTATACAGTACTACAGCTCCACCCAGCTGAATGGCACAAAATGGGACTGGTTCATTATCTATATCTCTGCTTGAAATAACTCCCAAACTTGAAAGAAAGAGATGAGAAAAACCTGTTGACTCTAATTATGTTAGCACATATGTATCTAAAATGTAATCTTAAGTCTCTGCAGTCTGGAGCTTACTTGTATTTGAACATATCATTGGTGACTGTTGCATATTGACTTCATTGTTACAATTTCCCCTCAGAATTAGTTGTGTCTTCAGACCCCTCAACCAGTCCAGTGCTTAGCTATGATGTAGGGATTTTTATTATTCTGCTACTTAACACAGACATGCTTTCTTTGAGAGGGGTATATGGATAAATGGTCCAATGTGTCCCTTTAAAGGAGGAAGAGATACAGGACATCTCGAAGGAACTGGAAGCAACTATAGAGACCATCCACCTCTTGAGAGAAGAGCTCAATAAAACAAAGGTACACATTGTACATTCATTACCTGCAGTTAGCTTTTGTTTCCACTGCCTCCTGGAGAGGCTGACTCCATTGCAGTCTTTCAGCCCAGAGCAGGAATCTGCCTTTTTGTTTCCTTCTTTTGCTGTCACACCTCTGTTGTTATTGATGAGGATGAGCAATGGCACCAGCTGCATTAACTGCTGCCTTGGCTAGCACAAAGGCTGCTGGAATTGTGCATGTTGCCTTTTCCTGCCTACCCCAGGAGTAACCTGAATGTTTCCAGTGCTGTTAGATGCAAAATGGAAATCATAAAGAGGGAACTGTGATTTTTATGAGCTGTCTAGCCAATACTGCTGGCCATAAAACAATCAAATCCTTAACATGCCCAAAATCTGATTTCAGGTATTGCAGGATAGTGTCAAATATATTTTATTCCTTTGAATAAAGGTGGCTGTTTCTTCTCTGCAAGGGTCACTCAAAGAGCATGTTAGGTGGGGCAGTAGTTTCTCATATTCCACACTTCTGTCCTGATGAAACAATGAACTCCACGTTTTCTGCCTTTCAGGAATATACATCTCAGATCAAAAACAAGATTACAAGAGATTTCAGTTGCATGAAGGAATATGTTGAAAGACAGGAGAGACACACACTGGTGTTCATTGAACAAGAGCAAAAGGCAGCTGAGGAGAAAATTGAAGAGACTATTCAGCAGCTCTGTATTGAAGTAAACAGGCTCACAGACATCACAGCTGAAACAGTAAGTTATGAAGTGGCAGAATATGAGTAGAAACTTAGGCTAAATGTCTTGGATAACTGAATATGTACAGAGTACTTCCAGGTCGCCACTGCAGTATTCTCAGTAGAGACAGTGATCCACAGACATTGCTGTTACCGGGGAGAGTTTGGAGTGAGATATTCAGAGGGAAAAAATACTAGAAAAGGCATAGTCCAGGAATGCAATCTAGAACTAGATTTGTTCCAAGGATATTGGTAAGATGGAGTGGAGTAAGGACTGCGTGGCTTAAATCCAGTCCTGAGTCAAATCTGAGGTTAATGTAAGATCCTTTATTATCTTCTTATTTTCCAGAATAAGTATATACACATATTAAAGATCTCACAAAGTCAAGTACTCTCTAACAATTTCTGGGGAAAACATGTCAAGGCCTTTCAAAAGAGGCAGTTAAAACACTTTAAAGTTTGCAGAGCCCATTTTGATGTTGAAAACAAAAACACCTGTGATGCAAATTAGCTAGCAGGAATTTGGAGTGGGGCTTGCTGTGTGTTACAGTGCCAGGAGACAGAAGTGGACTTCCCAGGCCAAGGCACAAGGTCCTACATTGGGATTCATCTGATGTAACTACGTATTTGTATGTGGTCCAGAGTCCTGCTATAGACAATAAAGAGAAATGGGAACTTTGAGAGCATGAGTCATCTGGCCTGCTTGAGTCTCCTACCTGCAAATGAGACTAATCCAGCCTTCAGAAGGCCTGTTTCTTTTTGGAGGCTGTAAAGGCAAGCTAAGAGAAAAACCTCAGATGTGAATTTCTACAATTCCTAAATTTAGTCAAATAAGGCTTATCCTTTTGTAGGTATTTTATCCTAGATCTCATACTAATACATGTTAAAACTTTTGGTATACTTTCTGAAACAAGAATAAGGTTTAACAAGAGAAAGTTTGTGTACACATATGTATACTTAAGGAAATTGTAAAACATATATATAGATATAAGAAAAAATGAGTTCCATTCTTAGTTTTCTTGGGGAAAACAAGGTATTTAATTTTTCATTAAGAATAAACTATCCTTTCTTATTTTCTGTAAGATTTCAGGTTAGTTCTCAGATAACTATACTATACAGGAAGCTCTTGATACACAGAATAAGATTTTTGAGGAATAACTGCTTTTCTTGCACTCTGGCTTTATAGTATAACCTGATATGCTAGATGAAATAACTGCTATTGTTTACACCTTCCCCTTGATTCTTTCATGTCATTACTAGAGCACCCTAACAGAGAGACATAGGTACAGAGACTTGCCTTCAATAATGGATAAAATTACACTTGATGAGAAACTGAATGTTGTCAAAAGTGCTGTAGAAGTTCTTAAGAGAAAGTTGGAAATTTTGCTTTTGGAGAAATACCCTGAGCAGTTCCCACCAGGTGAGTTTTCCTTAGTTTGAAAGATCTTTTTTAGAGGGAGTGGATCTAGCAGGGTCCTTCAGAGAAAGCAGCTCTGTATCTGTGTGATTATTATAAAACCCCTTGCAGCTTTGGAGACAGCATCATTACTTTATACTTTCATGGGAGCCCAAAAGGAGAGAACTGACTGACATGCAGATCAGAAGTGGAGAATGAGACACAATCTATTTAAATTTTTTTTTTTCTAAACAGAGAGTAATGTAACAGTAAAGTTTTTGCTAAAAGCAGACATAAAATTCCATCCCACAGAAAGCTGTGACTAAGCAAAGTCACACCTTTACATGAGGTGTGGCCTTTGCTACAGAATTCTCCTCCCAGCACTACCTGTCTGCTGGAGAAAGACCACCAAGTGTTTTTGAGAGCAAATCAAGACTGACTTAAAATCCCACTGTCACCAAGGGGCAGTCCTCCCTTTCCTACCCTTTCCAATACTCCCTGCCTTTTCCAAGCACTGGTCCTCAAAAAAAACCCCCCAGATTCTTATTCATATTTTTAACTCAGCATTTTTCTTATTTCAATCATTTCAGCAACTGAGTTTACAGCCTTGCTCCACAATCATTTTTTAGCAGCAAACCTGAGGACTCACGAGGGCAGAGGTGTGTGGAAGGAACTCTTGAGGACAGCTTTCATGATGAAGCCAATGTATTATGTAACTATACCAGAAAAGCTCTGCAAATGAGTCTTGTGAATGTACACTACAATGTCACAGAAAATGAGAAACAGCCTTTGAAGCTTTAGGGCTGAATGTCAGGCTTTTCAGTCAGAGTCAGAGTTAGAGTAAGTAATGACTTTGCACATGCAAGTAACGCAAGAAATGCATGATACTCAAAATAAATGAACACTTAAAACTTCTATGATAGAAACTGGCTTATGTGCATAGGAAAATCCAACTGCTTTGCCCATCTAACTCTTCTGACTACTCTATTCTGACCACACTCAGGATAGCAGCATACAGTGTTTTGTTGATTATGGATAAAAATAGTCTATAGTTATTTTATAGAATCAAAAAAAGCAACTCTTAGTTTTGTACTTTGACCATTACCTAGGCTATTTAACATATATTTTCCTTTAGAAGCATGAATATTTTCTATTTACATTTTGAAGAAGTGCCTTAACACTTCAATTTTTCCATATGTAGTGGAACCCCCAGACTTGTATCAAGAGGCAAGTGCCTGCTCCTTATCTCCAGAGTCCACAGTTAAAAGTCCAGAACCAGTGAATTCAAGCCGTTTTTCCCAGTGTAAGTATGCAAGTCAGCGTGACTGTTCCATAACGATATTCAAGTGACTGTGAGACTGTGGATTTGCTAAAGAAAACTGCTCTTATAAACAGGAGATCTGGTTGTTTACCTGAAGCATAGGAAAACAATGAGGTTGCCATAAATGAATCAGTGACTGTAGCATAAGGCAATATTATACCTGCCTGTGTATGCAAGATAAAAAGGATAAGAAACTTGCTTCCTGGAGGTATATAAGCTGTGTTGTAGATTATGCTGGCTGCAGAGTCTGAGTTGGTAACACAGGCACTTACTGCACCTTACTGCTGTTTACTGTGTTAAGCTGTAATGATTCCAGTTGTCTGAATTCTGCATCATTTTTACAGTAGTGCAGCTGTAGCTTAAAACACAAAACAAATGATTTTGCTGATAAAATATGCAAGAGCATGTCCCAGTGAACAGATAACTGTGAGTTTTATTAAGCATCCCATTTATTATTGGCAAAAGGGTCATCTTTTTATGAGATTGTGAATAGTACCTCCACCCTCCCACTGGAGTGGATGAGTCTATCATGGATGTTTACACAATTGTGCCCGTTAAATGTTTCAGTATGCTCATTTGCATATATTTGCAATACTGCTGATTTGCAGTATTGAACTTTGATTAATGTGTATTGTATAATTATTGGTTTTCATTTCTGTTCCTGAGTAGGGAGCCACATCCACTGTCATTTAGAATGCGTGTAAATAGAGGGGATCTGCCTTCCTGTTGCCTGTAACTGAGGATATTTTACTTTCTGTCTTCTAGGGGCAGATGATGTGACTTTTGATCTCAGAAGAGTCTATGAGCGCTTAGCAATCACAGCCCAGAACAGAAAAGTCATGGTTTCCAGCCACCCAACTGACTATGGACCATCGCCCAATAGATTCTGCATCAGCCAAGTGATGTGTTCACAGAGCTTCTCTACTGGGTGCCACTACTGGGAAGTAATTACCAAGGACAGTGATGGATGGGCTGTTGGAGTTGCTCATAAAATGATTGGTAAAAGGGAAAAACTAGGGAGAACGGAGCATTCCTGGTGTGTGGAATGGCTAGGTCCCAGAAAGCAGCTGTCAGCATGGCATAGGAATCAAGAAACGTTGTTAGACAAGGATAAACCACTGAAGGTTGGAGTTTTTCTGGAGCTACAGAAGAAGACCGTGTCATTTTACTCCATCACTGATGAAGAAATGCTTTTGCATACTTTTGAAATCAGTACCTCAAATCCTCTTTACCCTGCTTTCTGGCTATATGGCCTAGAAATAAATGGATCTTTAACTATATGTCACACAAATGGGACATAAAAACCTGTTCAGAAAAGTGGCAGTTTTGCCTCTTACTGCAGAGCTTCTCTACAGGCTTCAATGTTTAGCACAGGAATTTACTAAGGAGTGTGTAGCCACCAAGGTTTTGCTGGGAATTAGCAACTGATCCATTCTCTGCTCTGTTCTTCTTCATGCCATGCTCAGATCTAATGATACTTCATCAAAACAGTTCCAATGTATGCTAAAAGTAGTAACCATCCCTGTGGGAGCCAAGTGGATTTCTTAAGCGGCTTTAAGTACTCCCAGGGTATTTCTAGGAAGGAATGCACCAAGGAAGCTCTGAGGCTGAGGATAAGCTTTTCCCATGGACTTTGTTTTCCTACATTGATCCAAATAAATTACAAGAGAACAGACGATGCTATGGCATTCTGTCAAGTGCGCTTTCTTTAGAGAGATCTGATTGAGTAAGGAATGCTGAAAGGAATGACTGTTATTGATCCCATGCATGAAAATCTTTCTCTGTAGGGGTAGGTACTAAACTCCAGGAAACACACTTTGTATTTGAGGACCTGACATTCCAGGGAGCTGTCCTAGAACAACATTGTCTCACTAGCATTAGTTTTTAGCCCTGCTCAGGCCAAAAGGTTGTCAGTCCTGGTGGTGTGTGACCACAGGAATGATTACACCACCATTGCAGATGTTTTCAAATGTGTTTGTACCAGCTAATAAATCATGTTACTGCACTTTTACAGAGCCAGCAACCAGCACTGTGTCATGGAAAGCACAACCTTTTCTTGCCAGAAAGCCCAAAGAACCAAGAGGTTCTACGAGTTTCCTTGCCAGCATACAGCAGTGTTTCTGCCCTGGTTTGTCACACCTTCCTAGCTGCAGGGAGATCCTGCAAAACCTCCTGGCAGTTGAACTTCTGAGAGGACCACTGCTTCATGCAGGCAAACTGAGAACAGCTCCCAGGAAGCGAAAGCTTTTTTAGAAGAAATTCAGCATTCCAGAACAAAATAAGGATTTTAATGTGAATAAAGCATGTTTGGATTCAACCAGCTCATTTAACCAAGTCTTTTTAAGTCATTGACAGAACTGCTGCTAATCTTCAACGTTACCCTCCTTTGCTGTCCCTGAACACTCTGAAAGCACTTTGGACTAAATACACACTGATGAGGTCCCGGAGGTGTTTGCATCAGCTTCTGCAGGACCAGGGGTAGCTCTGCCATCAGCGTAATGCATTGCTCGTGCCGCTGCCTCTTGTAGCACGGAGGTGGCTTTTTCTCCACCTGGAAGCAGAACAGCGACAGCACAACGGGCTCACTGGGCACCTCGCATTTTCCACATCCGAGCTCCGCCAGGAGCAGCGATTTGTTACTGTTTGGCCCATAAGCTACCCGCCACTTTGAAAGGGGATGCGTTGCCTCACTCTGATGCGTTCCCGTGTGTCGGACGCACTGACGTGGCCGGCGCAGCACAGCAGCCAGCACCGTTTCATCCCGGTGCACGAAATCTGCTCCTTAACGGCAGAAACCCAAGGAGCGATGGTGCCAGGGAAGCGCGGAGCTGCGCTCTCCTCCGCGGGGACCGACGCCCGGTTCTGCCCTGAGGGAAGCGGCGACCCTCCGTCGCCTCAGGGCGGCGCGCGGCCGCGGGCTCCCCGCGCAGCTGCACGCAGGCGCGCGGGCCCGCCGCTCCCTGGTGTGTCCCTCGCGCGCCGCCGTAGCCTGCCCCCTCTCCGCGGCGTGAGGGGAGCCCAGGCCGCAGCGGCTCCGCTTGCCCCGCCGAGCCCGATGTGAGCCGCCCCGCGGCGGGGCCAGGCAGCGGGGCCATGAAGAAGGACGTGAGGATCCTGCTGGTGGGAGAACGTGAGTGCGGGAGGGGCCGGCACCGGGGCAGGGCGGGGACCGCTGGGCTGAGGGGGAGCTGCCGCGCCTCCGGCTGTCAGAGCGCTCTGGTGCTGCGGGGAGGCGGGTATCGCACCCTGCCCGGGATCATTCGCCTTGGCCCTCCCGGGCGCGGAGCGGAGCCCCGACCCTGCGCGGCTGTCAGAGGTCGGGCTCGGGTGCTCCGTGCCCGCTCCGTGCCCGGTTATCGCGGCGGCAGGGACGCGCCGGCGGGCCCGGGCGCCTGCGTGTAGGGGTTGGCCGGGAGCTGCCGGCTGCTCGCGTCCCTTCGCTGGCTGCTGAGCGGGCAGCGTGGAAGTCAGCTTGTGGAGTTGTGCTTCTTGGACGTCCCTGGAGATGAAACTGGGATGACATTCCTGCCCTGTGCTTTAGTTGTTTTTTTGTGGAAACCAAACTTAAACCTATTGATGAGTTTGGACATCAGTGGCCAGGTGTGCTCCAGCCGTTATCAGCTGGGTGTTGTGGGTTTGTGGGAGAGCCAGGGAGTCCAGATTCCTGCTTCTGCAACGAACTTACTGTATGACCTTGAATAAACAGCACGTACTTAAGTGCGTGACAGAGTTACGGTGGGTCTGTGTTTTTTTAGATGTTCCTAAAACGGTGTCCTGAAGTTCAGGCTTAGGTACCTAAATAACTGGCTGGCTTTCAAAGGCACAGCTTCTCACCGATGTAAATGGCAGCAAGGAGGTTCTGTTTTGTTAGTTTGTAAAGTGCGTGTAAGCTCCTCACAAGAAAAGAATGCAGAGTAATTACCAGGTGTTATTAGTAAAATTACCGAATTACATTAAGAGTGTACGGCTTTCCTGAGAACTGAGTCCCCCTTATATATTTATAGTACAGTTTATGCAGCTATTTTATAGTGCAGGTTGGCTCTGTCTCTACTGCCTAGAAAGATCCTCTATGACTTCTTCAGAGAGGAATCTTCAGGAGATGGTACTATGCAGAAGGATTTAACTCATTAAGCTTGTTTGTGGCTAGTTTGGCAAGACTCAGTTTATTTAGAAATGTATTTGTGCATTTGAATACACCTTTGAATTCCTCTTCAGAATATGTGTCTAATTCTCCTTTACTGCCTTTGGCAACGGAACAGGCTCTGTATAGTGGTTTAAGGACAGGTGTAACAGGTACTTTGATGCGGCAAAGATTCACAGTGTGTCCGACTGAAAATGTCAAACATACAGGTCTCTTCAGTACAGCAGTGTGTAGTACATGGCACACATCAGAGACTCTGAGCATTTTTATAGTATGTTTTTGATGGATGTGTAACACACAGAAGGGAGAAATTTGTTTTACAAACTGGTAAGGTGTCAGTGACGCTGTCAGTGCTGTTTTGTATCTATTTTTTTATTATTAAACCACAGGTTTATCCAGACCGTCTGATTCTTGTTAGATGATAACAGTAAAGCATCAGGCTCAGATTCTGAAATATATGAAGACCTGTCTTAAGCCTGTTCCAAAACACAGCCCTTCTAATGCCCAGCATCTACATTTTAGGTTTAAGGTTGTTTTAGTCCTAGTATCCACAGAGCAAACATCAATTTTTAATGGCAAATAATTTTTGGAGTATGTTCAGTAAATTATTGTATGCTGCATGGTCTAAAAGAAGTAGGAGAGCTTTTAAAGCTCTTGATTCTGCCAGGATGAAACTTAAGATGTAGTTGCAAGAAGGCATGTGGCAGTGTAAATTTCAGTTTTAGCTCGTATGAGTATCACTGATGAAAACACAACCACATTGCTGTGAAGAAGCCTGCATCTCACTTGTCTCCAGTCAATCCCACCAGGGAAAATGAACAACTATTCTCCCCATGGAAAACAAAAGTCTTTCTTTCCACGGTAGTGTTTTCTTTGCTTTACATAGTTTTGTAGTAGCTACTGTTTAACTCACCATGACAAAGAGAAGCTTTTATTTCTGGATGTCAGAAGGCTCTTGGTTATTATATCAAAAATAGACTTGGATAAGTTGAACATACTTTGAGTCACCAGTTCAGTAATATTATTTCCTGCACAAAAACAGATGTGCAATTTAATCTCTTCCTCTCCTATTCAGAGTTATATACAATAAATAGACAAGTGTAAATGAAGTGATATCAGCAAAACAGCCTCTGTAATTGGTGACATTTAATTTTGGTTTGAGTAGGAGTAGTGATACAGGCTCTGACTGTGAGGAATGTCTTGGTTGCTAGATGCATGTTAGGTTGCATGCTAGAAAAAATGCTCTAGGTCCAGCCCCTTTGTATCAAGATTATGCTCTTGCACTTTCAAAGCAGTCAGAATAGTTTCTGGAGACTTTGTCCTTAATGGTAGAGCTGTGTCTTGTCCAGCTCTTATCCTTGATGGTTCAGGACTGAAGCAGGGCCATCATATCAAGAATACTATGAAAATATTTAATTCCTAAATTCCTTTTTGTGTATTTTCTTTTTTTTTCTATTTATTGAATTGTATTAAAGCATTTCTAATTTGTTTTGCATTTTTGTTTGTTTGCTTAAGTGTTCTATATTAAGGTATAAAGGCTGCTAATTCTTTTATTTAAGAAAGAGTAGGATTTGATTCCCATCTGGATGAAATGCAGAAGTGTGAAATGGATCCTAACGTTTTACGGTAAAAGAATTGGGAGAGAATTGCTGTCATCCATATTTAGTATGTTTAAACAACAGATGAAAAGCCTTCAACATAGTCAGTTGGAAAGTATTTTAAAAATACTTCTCATTTTAGAGATGGGATGCAACTGCTGAGTGTAACAAAACCAAGTTATCTAATCTCTGTTTCTAATGCTTTTGCAGCCAGAGTTGGGAAGACGTCACTAATTATGTCTCTTGTCAGTGAAGAATTTCCAGAAGAGGTAGAGCATCCTTTGTTGTTTGCTAAGTTTTATTTCTATCGTGTTGTTGTATTATTTCATTCAAAGAGTAAGTTAATAGGCTCTGCTTTAAAATAAAATAATGTTTCCTATTTAGAAAGAATAAAGTCTCAGACTGCAAAGATGACTTCTGTAAGAGTGATGTAGATTGGTTTAAATATACCCCTCTATGAAGATTAGGAATTTAAATTGCATCTAAATTCCTTTCTTGTTTTTCACATGGTGAATTAAACTATTTTATTAATTTTTGAGAAATGTTAAGTTTTTTTTAAGCAGTTGAAACTGGGCATAACTGACAGCATATTTCAACATTAGAGATTCATAAATGGGAAGGTGCTGAAAAAGGCAAGACCTTTTTTGTGTTGTTTTAAAAGAGCAAGTAGATTTCAAAATGAATGAGAATGAAGGATTAAAAAGTCACATCGTGTATCTATAATTTAGCCAATTTTTGTGACTAAGTGAGGCATTGCCTTTGCTTTTATTTTTTGAAGAATGCTTTACTGATGCTTTTGAAGCAAAAACCGCTGAAAACTCTTACTGCTTTCGTCCAGAGTAAAAGTAAAGCTACTTCTACCTTTTATCCCTTTAAAAAAAGCAGCACATAGTTCCCTTTATACCATAAAAAGAACTGTAGCTGCTACAAATAGTTAAGCTTTT